TGACTGTATTTAATTTTACAGTCGGACTGTTTTTAATTTTACATTCCGACCTGTTACCGCCTGTAACAGTCTGCACTGTATTGTAGAATACGGTCCGACTGTATTCAAATGTACAGGCTGACCTGTTACAATCTGGACTGTAAAATTTAGGTTTAGTCGGACTGTAATCTTAGACCTTGTAGGTGGAAATTTCAAATGGGTTTTTGTAGATTTTGTCCTCTATAACGGCCTTTTACGGTTTTTATTTTACAGTCTGGACCGTAAATAAAAATACAGGCCGGACTGTATTCTGAACTACAGTCCAGACTGTAACAGCTCAGACTGTAAAAATAAAAACAGTCCGGCCTGTATTTCAAAACACAGTTCAACCGTAAAATTAAATACAGTTCCTGACCGTAAAATAAAATACGGTTAGGACTGTATGCTCACTGTAATTGGCTACAGTTTTTTTAACAGTGTATGGTCAAGAGCATAAGACATGTTGACAACGGGTAGGAAATGGAGCCTCCTCCACAAACATTTAGCATGGCCAAAGGTGTGCTCAATTCTGGCTCGGACTTTACACAGCCTCCTGTTGTATTGTCGCTGTAAAGGCCTTAGATCTCCTCTATTTTCAAAAGGAGTTAAAAGCTGCAAATGTAGATTCAAATAATGAAATATAGGATTTCTGAGAAACAGAAATTGAAACAATGTAATTCAATATACCTGGTTAAGGAGCATATAAGCTGAGTCACCAATTATATGCTCGCCCTCACTCAATATATTGGGATCTTCAAGCAGATTTGAGCAGAGAGGACTTCTCCGGAATACCCGAGCATCATGCAGGCTCCCTGCCTCTCCTACATAAAGATCTCTCAGAAGCAGTTTGTCATCACAAACCGCTTGCATTTTAATGGAATACTGGTGGTGATAATCCCTATAAGCAGCTTTATCTTCAACTGGAGCAGAAATAGGGACATTACAGCCATCAATGATTCCAACAATCCCAGGGAAATCAGAAATCCGGCGCATGTTGGCTTTGATGACAACTCTTTCCTCTTGATTTGGCCAAGTAATGAACCGAGGAGCAAGCTCCCGAAGAGCTTCAATTATATAGACATAAGCATCATGTACCTCTGAAGGGCAGGCTTCATAACGAAGTGCTACAGCTCTAAAACATTCTGGAGTTGCAAGAATCCACAACACCATGAGCAGAATGTGCGACAAAGGACGTCTTTCCCTCTTCAAACGTTGCTCTTCAATAAGGTGGTTTCCTATGTCTTGCAACAAATTCTGGATTATAAAAGAAGAAATAACTCATAATAAATATATGTATGTGACAAATATACAATAGAGAAAAATAAATGGAGTGATTGACATACAATGAGAAGTACACACACCTCAAATACATCTTCGGATAAACGGAAATGCATCCTGAAAGCAGGATCACCCATTACCCGGAACTCCTCAACATTGACAGTTATTTTTTCCCATATTCGGTCCTCTGAAAATGAAGGCAAATCAATTCAATTAACATTAAAGAAATTACAACTTTTGCTTTAGTCAGAACTGTAGTGTTTAGATAATAATATCAAAGTTCATACACACCATATAAGAATTGCCAATAGAACATTACACCTGGGATCAAAGCTTCTGCTGCTTCATCTATCAGCTGATCACACATCATTTGTGTTGTTAAACCAGCGCTAGTATTTGACTGTGAATCGCTGATGTTCGCTAATTGACAACATATGTTTAACCTCAACCAAGGTTCAAAGTTGGAGATCAGCCGGTCGATCTCCCGCCTCACATACACATCGACACCTCGACACACACCCACTCAACCGATCGACTGACAGCCTCACCCCCGATAGACCTCGATAGACCGACAGACCTCCCGACCTTACTTTCCCTAACAGAATGCGCCCCCGGCCGCGGTCGGTAGAGAGAGTCTCTCGGACCGTCGGCGTTGGGGGGCCGCGTCTGGCGGGAGCGCGCGCTCAGCAGCACCGCGTCCCTCCTGTTCGTCATCGGGCGTAGCGCTCCGCGGGGCGCGCGGCGCAGCAGAACGCTGCTTGCGCGCCATCCGTCAAACTTACTCAACAACACAAACACAAGACGCAAAAGAACACACAAAAACACAAACACTTCACTTTCAGACACAAAACACTTCAGAAAACACTACACTTTCACTGAACACTTCAAGTTCACACTGACAGCGACACCTGAACCCGAAAACCAAAATCAACGAGGATGCTCGCGGACGGTGGGCACGAACCCTGCAAAAGGAACAGAAAGGGAAGGGATCTCGCCTATCTATTCTTTATTGGTTCGTCCAGTAACCTGGCTTGTGCGGTGCGGCTTGAGCGAAGAACCTCAGCTCAGCCCACTCCTCCTCCTCTCCACTTAAACCGCTGCCACCAGTGTTGTGAACCGGGCCAGGGGCTCGCGGTTGCACTTGGAGGCAAGGTTGGTTAAAGGAAAGGCAGAGGTTTTCGGCACAAGTATTTCATTGGGTCCTTGGTACAAGGCAGTCACGGTAGCGCGGCGCGGCAGCAATAATGCACGGTAGCAAGGGTCTGAGAGAGCACGTCCTACTCCAAGCTCATCCCAAACAGAAGTGTCGGTCCGGGCGCTACGCGGGGTGCGGGTGCCCGCCGCTAGGGCGCGGCACCTCGCGGAGGCGGTCGCGCTCACGCAGGCCGTGCTGTGGGCTCTGCGTGGTGGGGGGCGGCGCGTCAGCAGACGACAGAGTCGTCTGCTGCAGTACTCAGTGTTTGCAACGATTGTCGATTACAAACAAAGCTCACTTCACAACAATATCAGAAAGGAAAGAAATTCTTACCTGTCACGTATTCACGCGACGATCAAAACGAAGTCACATTCCGATTTAATATTATTAGAAAAGGATTCACGAACAATGCTCAGCTCAGACTTACTAATAAACAAACGCAGCAAACAAACACAAGATGGGTTTCGGTTCCATGCATAAATTTAGACACACGAATTTTTCATACTACAGCAGAAGGTCTGCGTCGCGTCGTCTGCCATCTTCTGCTTGCTGTTGTGTGTGTTGTTAGTAGCTCTAAAAGCTGCTACATTAGACCTTCTGATTTTGTTTTACTTTTACCTCTTAGTCCAGACATACCAAAGGACAGAAAGGTTTCAATGAGTGTTCGTAGTTAACCACGTTTGTGACGCTCAACAGGTTATAAACAGAGAACAACTCATTGCTCAAATGTCATGGTACGGTTATTGTCTGTACCCTCCTCTGTACGGTGTCACTGTTATCACAGACTACAGCAAATTTCATAAGACAGTACTGTACTGTGGTCAAACCGTTCCAAATATTCTGTACCATAATTTGAAATTTGATACAGTATTTTTAACAGTGTCGGTGACTCTAAGCTTATAACCAGGCGTCCCTGATTTAGCTAGCTTTGCTCTGTGTGTTCGACCGGGCACACTGTAAAAAATATTATGAAATTTAAGACCAAAATGTATCTTAAATTTAATAACATTTTCAGTTGTTCTTAAACGTAAGAACAGATTATGATATTTAAGAAGTTTTCTTAATTTTGCAAACCAGGTTATGAAAATTCTGATAAGGGTAATTAAATTTTATAACAAGTT